TTTGCTTGCTAGATCTTTGACCAAGTGGACATTTGATAAGTGGAGTTAAAAAAACGGAGTTGAAAACAGGAGATAATAACAGGAGTCTACTAACCTGTAAGTGACAACTGATATGTCCTATTAAAATTGTAACTGGGATAATGAATGCTAGCAGGGTTGAAGGTTTTGCGCTGCGCACAGTGTGCTACAAGTATGCAACAATGGAGCAACAGCTCCAGGATGGATACCGCTGCGACAAATGTAAGCGGATTGCCCTTCTGGAAACACAAGTTAAAGATCTGGAGGAACAAGTTGCAACACTGGGCAGAACCGACAACCTTGAAAGGGGTCTTCTGCTCTCTGAGCAGGTAGTTAATGGGATTGATGTGGAGGGTGGAGGGGCTAATCAGGATTATCAGGTAGGAAGAAGATGGGTTACTGCAACGAGAGGGAGTGGTAGGGGCTCACAGGAAAGGAAGGCCAGCCCTGGGTTTGTGTACCCAAACAGATTTGCCAAGTTGGGTGAAGATGTGGGGGTGGCAAGCTCAGGGGTGGCAGCCCTGGATGTCACTGCTATCCCTAACAGCCGGGAGGGCAGGAAGGCCTGGACAGCAGGTGGTAGTATGCGATTCTATAATCAGAAGGACTGTTAGAATAATTTGTTGCCAGGATTGCCTCAACTGAATGGTTTGCTGTCTCCCTGGTGCCAGGGTTTGGCATGTGGTGGACCAGGTTGATAAATTACTGGGAGGGGCTGGGCATGACCCAGCTGTCTTGGTCCATGTTGTAATCAATGACAGAATACATGGAAGGTGGAGGCTCCTTAAGAATAAATTTAAAGAACTAGGCTGCAAGTTGAAGGGAAGGACCTCCAAGGTGATATTTTCTGAAATATTATCTGTGCCATGCACATCTCAGGAAAGAGGACCTAGCTGATGGAGAGTGTGATGATTCTGAAGTATTATGAGTGGAACTGCACATGGGGTGCATACTACAAAGGTAATCATTGGAGTTTGTTATAGGCCTCCCTGTGTTAATGAGGAGGTGAAGGCTCAGCTCCTTGCACAGATTGAAAGGGCTACAAGTCCTGGGACAGTGATAATAATGAGGGATTCTAACTACCCGGTAACTGACTGGAGTAATGCCAATTAAGGAACAGTTAAAGGGCAAAAATTTATAAACCTACTACAGGACAATTTTATGGTTCATAGAGGCCCCAACTAGGAATGATGTTCTGCTGGGCGTGGTAATCTCAAACCATGCAGAGCTTATTACTAATGTCCATATAAAAGAATATCTGGGTAGCAGTGACCATACCATGATTTCATTTATTGTTAGCTCTAAACAGCGAGCACATACAGGAAAAATAAAAACGCTCAATTTTAAGAGAGATAATTTTCCAAAGCTGATAGCTGCTCTCCAAGACTTAGACTGGGAGGGAATATTGGCATCAATGAACACAACACAGAAATGGGAATTCTTCAGAAAGATTGTATGTGAACACACTGCAAAATATATTCCCATGGGCAAGTTTAAAAGGCTAAACATCAAAGCTATGCGGCTTATGGCCAAAGTTAAAAAAGCTATAGATAATAAGAAAAGAGCTTTTATTAAATATAAAAATGAAGGAACGCTATCATCGTTTAAACATTACAAAGAATATAACAGAAAAATCCAAAAAGGAAATCAAGGCAGCAAAAATTGAAAACGAACAACAGATTGCAAAAGATAGCAGGACCAACCCCCAAAAATTCTTCAAATATATTAATAGTAAAAAGGTCCGGTCTGAGCATGTAGGCTCTTTACAAAATAATCTAGAGTGGGTGACTGGGGACAAAGAGAAGGCAAATTTATTAAATACCTTCTTCAGCTCTGTGTATACAAAGGAACATGGGGGAGCTCTTGTCCATAATGGGCATGGTATTGACACAGCCCCAGAAGACCCACATTGGCTCACAATTGATATGATCCAAAAATATTTAGACAGAATAAAGGTGAATAAAGCACCTGGACCGGATGGCATACACCCACAGGTCCTTAAAGAATTGAGCTCTGTCATTGCAAAGCCATTGTTTCTAATTTTTAGGGACTCTTTAATGACTGGCATAGTACCACTGGATTGGCGTAAGGCCAATGTGGTGCCAATATTTAAAAAGGGGTCAAAATCTTTGCCAAGTAATTATAGACCTGTTATATAGTTGGGAAGATACTAGACAGTTTAATGAAAGACCACATGGATGAGTTCTTGCTGGAAAAAAATATTTTAAGCAACAGACAGCATGGATTCATGAAAGACAGAAGTTGTCAAACAAATCTTATTTCTTTTTATGAGGAGGCGAGAAAAACCTTGGACAGAGGGGTGGCGGTGGACGTGGTATACTTGGATTTTGCAAAAGCGTTTGACACAGTTCCCCACACACGGCTAATGTGTAAGGTAAAGTCTACGGGTTTGGAAAAATCAATGGTGGAGAAGGATCTGGGAGTTCTGGCAGATCACAAGCTTAATAATGGCATGCAATGCCAAGCTGCGGTTTCTAAAGCGAGCAAAATCCTCTCTTGTATTAAAAGAGGTATAGACTCCAGAGAGAGAGAGATATCATTTTACCCCGGTACAAATCATTAGTTATACCTCATCTGGAATATGCAGTTCAATATTGGGCACCAATCCACAAAAAGAATATTGGGGAAGTGGAGAAAGTACACAGAAGGGCAACCAAATTGATAAGAGGCATGGAGGAGCTCAGCAATGAGGAAAGATTAGAGGAACTGAATTTATTCTCTCTTGAGAAGAGGAGATTAGGGGGGATATGATCAACATGTATAAATATATCAGTGGTTCATATAGTGAACCCGGTGTAGAGCTATTCACCCTGAGGTCATCGCAGAGGACAAGGGGGCACTCTTTACGTTTGGAGGAAAAGAAATGTAATCTCCAAACATGGAAAGGTTTCTTCACAGTGAGAGCTGTGAAAATGTGGAAAACACTCCCTCAAGAGTTGGTTCTGGCCAGCTCAGTGGATTGCTTTAAAAGAGGCCTGGATTCTTTCTTGGATACACAGAATATAACTGGATACTAACATTTATAGGTAAGGTTGATCCAGTGAATATCTGATTGCCTCTCGGGGGATCAGGAAGGAATTTTTTCCCCTGCAGGAGCAAATTGCATTATGCTTTTCTGGTTTTTATTTTTGCCTTCCTCTGGATAAACTGTGGGTATAGGATTATAACTTTTTTTTTCAATTTTTTTTCAATGGTTGAACTGGATGGACTTTTGTCTTTTTTCAGCCAGACTAACTATGTATAACCCCTGACCCTCTGCCTGGACAGTGCTGATTTTCCCTGTGCTGATCACATGCACTCTCCCAAGAAAAATAAAAAACCTCCCTAGCATTACACACCAAACTGAGCACGTGCAGAGTGTCCCCGATGCTGTGTTCTATCAGGAGATAAAATGGGGAACGTGGAAGAAGGGGAGGATCAGAGAAGACAGGATCCAACTTCCATTTTACACAATGCAGAAGATTAACCCCCTAAGTTCCACAGTGAGTATAACAAGTATGCTTTACTACATATACAGATTGATTTTACTGTTGTGGGTTTAGTAACACTTTAAAGAAACCACTAAGACTGCGGGAAGGAATAACATTTTATAGAAAGTATAATGTTAGAACAAGAGGTCAAGCTCTATGGCTGGAGGGTGACAGGTGGGCAGATGTAGAGTCAGGGGGTTGATAAAGAAAGCTGGAATCATTTTCTGCCTGCAGAAGCGGTGGAACAGACACAACAAAGCCAACATGTATATAGATTTCTAAAGATTTATATACTAGAGGCATATGAGTAAATCATATTTCAGGCCATGTGCGTTCTGCATCTTGAGTGACATGTAAGATACAGTTTTATAGAGTACATGATCTGTCTTACTCAATAGGGTGAAGAGCAATCTGAAAGATCAAAACCGCACTGCATCTTTCCCTGATCAGAGCTGAATTCTGATTGGCTGCTAATTGACTACTGCAGTTCATTTTATTCATGTATATAGTGTAGACAAATTCTGCTCAAGCGTTCTTGAACTCTAATGACAGCTGGTGTGAAAAGCAATTAATCTATTAATCAAAGTGGTTTTGCTTTCAAAAGCACACCTCAGCACCTGGAATAACTCAAAAGGTCTGCCTTTGTTTCGCAGCATCTCACTCCATCTTTTGAATAAAATGTAAGAACACTGTGCATCAAAGACACCACACACCCTCACCCTAGGTGCACCCTAACCCACTGCCATGTCCACATATAACATAACATGTTTGGTTTTTTCCTTTTGGAATATAAATAAAATGAATGTATTGATTTTATACATAAGCTTCTCCATTACAAATCCAGGCTCTGACATGACATGCAGCAAGGTAGTCCAATACTTTGAGTGCACATTGAGATACTTCCAGCCAGTGGCACATTCCCGACAACTTGTAGTACATGGATAAGATTGCTTTTAAATGTGTTAGATAGCCCAGTCAAGTAAACAAAACATGGGTAACATAAGTAAAAACATTGTATACCCACATGGAAGAAAATATATATATAAAAAATAAATATATATATTTAAAAAATAAATATATTTTAAACATGTTTTAAAAAATATTCTTCCAAAATATATTGACATATATTTGAAATGCTACAATTTTGTCTGTCTGTTTCAATGTACTTCAAAAATAAATATATATATATATATATATATATATATATATATATATATATATATATATTAACTATATATATTTATATTTATATTATATATATATATATATATATATATATATATAGTTAGGTCCATATATATTAGGACACAGGCACAATTTTTTTTTTTTTCAAGTCAGTGCCACCAGTCAGTGCCAAGCAGTTGTGTCAGTCAGTGCCCAGCAGTTGTGCCAGTAAATGCCCAGCAGTGACGTCAGTCAGTGCCGCCCATCAGTGCTGACTATCAGTACCCATCATCAGTGCTGCCTGTCAGTGCCGCCTATCCGTGCCACCTCATTAGTGCTGCCTATCAGTGCAACTTATCAGTGCCCTTCAGTGCTGCCTATCAGTGCCCATCAGTGCTGCCTATCAGTGCCCATTAGTGCCGCCTATCAGAACCCATCAGTGCTGCCTCATCAACGCACATCAGTGAAGCAGAAAAATTACCTGTTTGCAAAATTTTATAACAGAAACAAAGAACCTTTTTTGTTTCAAATTTTTTGCTTTTTTTGTGTTTATAGCGCAAAAAGTAAAAACACCCAGCAGTGATTAAATAACACCAAAAGAAAGCTCTATTTATGAGAAAAAATTTAGAAAAATTTCATATGGGTACAATCTTGCATGACCGCGCAATTGTCATTCAAAGTGCGACAGCGATGAAAGCTGAAAACTGGAAGGGGGTATAAGTGCCCAGTAGGCAAGTGGTTAAAAAAAAAGGTCAGAAACACTGTAGAACTCTGTGGACTGGACCTGGGAATAGAAGTGTTCCCCAATTCCTCTGACTTAATATACCCAGTGTGTGGGGTTTAGATTCAGGCAAATTTTTCTAATTCGGAGATTAGGATGTATCCGAATTCCGTATTGTAATAGTAATGAATATAAATGAATCTGAAATAACGAAACGAAATTCTTCTGAAATTCAAAATTGATTCGAAAACATTTGAAAACCAATTTGGATTTGAAAACAAGAATAGAATAAAATAAAACAGAAAATAATAGAATAGAATAGAAAAGAAAAGTATAAAAAAGAATAGAGGAAAAAAAGATTAGAAAAAATAAGTAGAAAATAATAAAGAAAATAAATAGGAAACAGTAGAAAATAATAGAGTAAAATAGAAATAGAATAGAAAGATTTGATTATAAAATCAAAGAAAAGACTAGAATAGAAAATTAGAATAGAGAAAAGATTAGAATAGAAAATCAAAGAAAAGAATGGAAAAGAATAGAATAAATTAGAATAGAATAGAAAAGATTAGAATAGAAAATCAAAGAACAGAATAGAAAATAATAGAGTAAAACAGAGCAAAATAGAACAGAAAATAAAGGATTAGAATAGAATAGATTAGAATAGAAAATCAAATAATAGAATAGAAAATATTAGAATGGAGAATCAAAGAATAGATAAGAATAGTATAGGAAAACAATAGAATAGAATAATATAGAAAGAATATAACCGCCTTCTGAAATTTTAATTTTGAATAGAATTAATTTGAATTCGAACAGAATACATTTGAATAGAATATAAAATAATAGAAAGGAATAGAATACATTAGAAAAGACTAAAATACTTTACAAAACATTGTAAGCTGCGCTATGGTAACGAGTAGTGATCAACAAAGGCACTGTGAAAATTTTGCTGAAACAGAAATTTCCAATGTGGTCACACAACTCTTCATATAGCCCATACAAAATTTATAGCCCATATAGCCCATCAAAAATACATTTGGATTGTGGATTATGGATTGTAACGTTAGAATTGTTTTTGATTTCATTAGAATTATTTTCGAATCCGTTAGAAATTTTGAATTCGGTTAGATGCAAATAAATGAAACGAATTGCAAAAAATGAATTAAACAAACTTAACTAACCAAACAAAACAAAATTAGTCAAATAACGAATTGAAATGAAATTAAACGAAACAAATGTTTTCACTTTCCACGTCTAGTGGGGGTTATGATGGGATTAACAGAAGAGGAGGAGGAAGGACACAGTAGTAGCACTTGCAAGCAAGTGACTGCTCTGTGCCTGGAAGTGGTAGAGGAGGTGGAGAAGGGCTATTAGCAGGACTTTCAGTCAAGTGGCTGATCTGCACTTTTGTAGAGCAGAGGAAGAGGAGGACAGTGTATTAGCAGTACTAGCAGATAAGTGGCCGCTCTGTGGACTTGAAGAGTAGAAGAGGAAGAGGAGGAAAATGGTGCATTAGTACCAAATGGATGCTCTGTGCCTGGAGGAGGTGGAGGAGGTGCAGGAGGGCCATTAGCAGTGCCTTCAGGCACGTGGTTGCTCTTTACTTTCGTGGAGTAGACGAAGAGGAAAAGCTGCTCTGCAGACTTGAGGAGAAGAGGTAATTGGTGCATTAGCAGCACTTGCAGGCAAGTGGCTGCTAGATATGTGCAGAACAAAAAAAAAATTGTTTTGTTTTGTTTTGCTTTGTAAATAATTTTGTTTAAATAATCTCAATTCCTTTCCATTTGAATTCAATTTGACCAAATTCGAATTCAAATTGGCATTCAAATTCTAATTTATTTCATTCGAAATACGAATCTTCGAAGATGCTTAAATTCTTTCTATTCGTTTTTTTTCTATTCTATTAATTTCTTTTCTATTCTCTTATTTTTTATTCTTTTTTATTATATTCAAATTCTGTTTCAAATTTGTATTTATTCTATTTGAAATTCAAATTTTGGAAGACAGTTATATTTCTATTTTATTCTATTCTATTGTTTTTTTCTATTCTATTCTTTTCCATTCTATTATTTTCTATTCTATTATTTTTTTTTTTGTTTTATTCTAATCTATTTGAATTTAAAATTATTCTAGTTGAAACTCAGATTTCAGAAGACAGTTATATTCTTTCAATTTTATTTTATTTGATTGTTTTTTTGTTTTCTCTTCTGTTATTTTCTATTCTATTCTTTTTTTTATTATATTCTCTTATTTAAATTTTTTCTTTTTTTATATTGTATTCTATTCTTAAATATAGCATTTTGTCCAATTCTTTTATTGTCAATTCCATTTTTTTCTTTTCTATTCTAAACTATTCTCTTCTATCCTATTATTTTCTATGCTAATCTAATCTAATTTCAGAAGACAGTTATATTCTTACTATTTCATTCTATTTTATTTTTTTTTTTTCTATTCTATTTTTTTCTTTTATACTCTAATCTATTCTGTTCGAAATGTTAATCTTCGGAAGACAGTTATATTCTTTCTATTTTCTTCTGCTGTTTTTTTACTGTTCTGTCCTATTATATCCTATTCTGTTCTTTTCTATTCTATTCTTTTTTATTCTATTCTAATCTATTCTATACAAATTTGACTGTATTTTATTTGAAATTCGAATTTCAGAAGACGGTTATATTCTTTCTATCTTATTCTTTTCTATAGTTTTTTTATATATTCTATTCTTTTCTATTCTAATCTATTTTATTCAAACTTTGAATTTTTGGAAGACAGTTATATTCTTTCTATTGTATTCTACTGTTTTTTCTATTCTATCATATTCTATTCTTTTCTAATCTTTTCTTTTTATATTCTATTTTTTTCTGTTCTATGTTATTATTTTTATATTCTATTCTATTCTCTTCTATTCTTTTCTTCTATTGTCTACTCTATTATTTTCTATTTCATTCAAATCTATTTTATTCTATTATTTTATGTTCTATTCTATTCTTTTTATATTCTAATGCGATTCGAATTTCGTCCGAATTTTGTGTTGTTATTTTGGATTCATTACTATTTTAATTCAGAAATTAGTAGACATCCGAATATCCGAATAATGAAAAACTTGTCCAAACTCGAATTTGGAACAAAATTAACCGCACATGTCTAGTGGCTGGTCAGAGCAAGAAGAATAATGGTTTGTCAGCTTTCATTACTTCCTGTGCAATCAATGGCCGTATAGCATTACCACTCCGCGATAGAAAAGGCAGGCATGCCCAGACTTTAGAGGGTGCAGCTCAATCATTACTCTGCAGAGTCTGATCACTTCCTACTACCTTCACATTCAGAACTCTTGCCCCTCACTTTAGGCCTGCCTGACATTTTTTGTAATAAAGGGGATTGCCTAAATTTAGTTTCTGCACACTACATTACTGTACAAGCATGCTGAAAAAAGGGCAGCTTTACTTGTGTCAGCAACAAATGTACCCCTGAAATAAAAAAAGGCCTTAGCAAAATAAAACAAAAATTACCTCCCTAAAAAACTTAATTTGGGGAAGGGGGTACCCTATGTTAGTAGGATTCAAAACAACACTTCCCCTGGCCATTGGATTCCTCCCCTCCATTTGTCGCTGACTGCCCTTCCTCCTGTGTTGCGGAAGGACAGCTAGCCTATGGAGGTAGGTTTTCTCCTTGCAGCTATGCCTCTAGTACCCTGACTATAAATCAATAAATACATGAAATCAAGTAAATACAAAAGATGAATAAATAAATAAAAGCTAAAATTGTCTAGTAAGTGTCTAGGAAGAGAAAGCCCTGCACTGGACATCAGGACACTGCTCTGTAACACCAAATACAGCTTTAAGGTATCTCCCAATCATGTATTTTAAAGAAAATAATTTTTTTCCCATGTCACCCTTAACGTCACATCAAAAAGACTGTTTTCCTGGTGTACAGTATTTATTTTTTTTTGCTTTGGTAAATGTCTCCCATGGTAGTGCCCAGCTTTCCAGGACTTTTTTTTTGACAATGGCTTGTCTATTAGCTGTGAAAATACCCAGAATTTAGTATCACGATTTGTCCTTTATAGACTTCAATGGAGTTTGATGTTAAGTTTGGAGATTTAGAAGATTTCAAGCAAGTTTCAGCTGACCCCAACCCATGACACTGAAGGACCTGTAGGACAGCAGGGTAGGTTGGGCTACCCTAAGACCATAGAAGGCATACACTGTGACTGCTTTATTATTTTCACCTACAAAAGAACCTTTGTGAGAACATTTTTAAAAACAAACAGTGGAAGGTTAGAGAAAGATTCTGATGAGTTATAAGGCTTGGTTCACATATGTATGGGTGGTGCTGCTGCGGATCCGCACAAAAATCCATGAAGCCGCACAACCCACACAGAAGAATGCGGACCCACGGGCGGGTGCCATTAATTCTAATGGCATGCCACAAGCACTGGAAATTGCAACTGCACTGGGAACTGAGGTTCCCGTGCGGGCTGCGTTTTCAGAAGTGCAGGGACTTCTTCCCTGCATGTCCCGGGGCATGGGAGTCCATTCAGGGGGAGCATGCAGATTAGTGCTGGATTGTTTGAGTGGGGAAAGGGAAGGTTTGCTAAGAGTGGTAAGTGGGGAAGAGTATTGATTGGGATGGGAGTTTTACACTACCCTGACCCAGTGGTGTATTTAGGTTTTGTGCTGCCCTAGACAACAAAAAA